TTTGCATCCGTACGTCATTGCCTTCAACACAGCGGAGTTCTAGTAGAAATTTTAGAACTTTGTATTTATTCTGCAATCACTGACGAGGCGATTGACGACCCGTAGCTGGTTTAACTTTCTTGCATGCACTTGTGTGATTTAGCAGTAAAACAAATGAAATTGGATTGTCATAGCGATAGAATCGAATGCTTGCTTTTCAACATGAGGCAGTATTACTTGCCACTGCGTCATACTATCCATCATGAATTCATCATTATATTTATTATTGTCAGTAAATTTCCTGATAAGTTATTCCTGCTCGGAATGACTAATTTTGCCTGGGCTTCCATGGCCCTTTTTTTGCTTTCTAATTCCTAATACGTTATGTTTAAGGCCGAAAGAAGAAACCAGAGTGAGCGGCAGTGTGCAATACAGAGTTAGGAGATGGATTAAAATTGACAGCTTATACCCAGTGCGTCAAGATGGAAAATCTGCTGTGGTAAGATGCTGCTATTAAAAGCACTTGAAGCTTTATGAAACTCCTTCAGTGTACTTATATTCTAGAAAACAAATTAGAAAGAGATGGTAAGATGAGTGAGAGGGGTTATGAAAAGGACATATTGCCATTATTGGGAAATTATATTAGAGGAAAATTAAAAAAAAAAAAATTGTTGCATTAAGTATGAGGACAGAAAGCTTTTTGAAGAAACGTAAAAAAAAGTGAAAGTCAGACTTGAAAGGAATTTTTCGGTTCGTGAAATCGTGAGCATTTCTTTCCAACATCACAGCTGGCCTCGTTAGTACAAAAGTTGTGGTGTAACACTGAGTTTCTTCCGGGAAGAAAACGCCGAGCCTTATTAGGTGAATAACGAAAGTTACAAACTTCATCGCTTACTGCCACTGCTCACATTCGTTGCATTTCCTGGAGATTGCCAGCCGAATGTTTCAGCCAACAAAAGCACTTCGCATCTATTCAACCGTTTCGATATGTCTTTGGTTTATGTTTTACATCATCATCTCAGCTTCGAATCTTGCGCTTCTGGACGATGATGAATTGGTACCTACATAGGCGAATCCAGGGCCTCCTGGGGGAGGGGGGGGGGCGGGAAAGGGGAGAGGGGATTTTTCACTTTACCTTCTTCGCCACTGCACCCCTTCCTCCCCTCCACCGGGCAGCTTCCAACCCATCCTTCACTCACCGCACTAACCCCTCTTCTTCCCCCTTCGAGCGTCTCACTACACCCCCTTCCCTCAAAGGTTCCTGGGGGGGGGGGCGACAAAGTATCCCAAGTAGACTTTTGTACGGTAAAATAACTGCTACCTAAGCACCTGGAGAGTGGAGGGGAGGAACGAAAGACCCCTCGTTTTTTTTTTTTTTTTTTGAATACAGTTTTGTCTTCTTTGTTTGCTTAGCTCAATAATTTGCAGGTGACAATGGAAATACCCATAGAACAAGACTATGATCGTCCAGAGCCTCCCGCAGTGCCTTTCTTTGGACAACTGTCTGACAAGCATGACTATTTCGGAGCAAACATCAAGCAAATACGCGGCCACAATATTTTAGTGGATCTAAGGCGAAACAAAGACTGGAGTGCTTGGAACATCACTTATGTAAAACTTCAGGTATGCTTCAGTGAGATTCTCTTTCATTTATTACTGATTGCTTGAACTGCAGTTTCTGATTCCTGTATCCATGGTCTTTGGGATGGAATTCTTTGTTGCTTTACCAGATGCGTTCTTTGCTGCTTGTTTGACCTTTTAATTAACCCGATTCTCTTCCTCGCATGGTGACTGATGTTCCTAGAAGCATAGTTATACTATGAGTTGGTCAAGTAGGAGCTTAAAAAGACACCAGATTCTCGGATATAAATTAAGAGATTTAAAAATTATGATTCTTTTCCATTTTCTCATTTCCCTTTCTTCCTTCTTTTTTTCCTTTTCTTTCTTTCTTTACATCACTTCCTCTGTCAAATAAACCCCAAAATCCACAATCATGTGTCATGCATTACAGCATCGAATAAGCAGAAAATGGTTAATAGCTATGAAAATATAGTATAGTAAACTGATTAAACGGGGTACTTTTCATAGAATACCAAGCCCTCATATGCAGTCATTGTGGTTATCCCAAGTTAGTGATGTC